ATCCAGCTCACTGTGTGTTAAAATGTTTCCACTATCGTTTTGTTATTTAGTTCACTGTTGTTACATTTTAAATTTAAATATTATGTTGAAATATTAAATCCTAAATCTAAAAGTGTCTAAAAGTAAATATATGAAATGCATATAAATGGAAAAAAGTAAAAAAAAAAAGAATAAATAAATGTAAAACAGCAGATGCAGTTAAATGTTAAAGTTTGCATTTAAATTTTTCAGAATGGAAAGCAGCTTTTGCTGTTGGTGCATGACTCTTGTTATGACATCATCATCCTGAGACAAAAGCAGCCGCTAACACTGCTAACACTTTCTTAAAAGACATTGGAGTTGCAGCAGGTGTCCAAGCTGAATTTAGTGTTAGCAGCATTAGCAGCGTTAGCAGAGTTAAAAATATTAGCAGCATCAAAAGTTGCTTTTGTCTCAGGATGATGATGTCATAACAAGAGCCAACTGTCGGTGTAAACTTTAACATTTATGCTTATGATGCATTTAGAAATAAAAGCTGTGAACAATATGTAGGGATGGGTACCTTTGACATTTGAATCAATTTGGTACCAATATTCGGTACCTTGGAATCGGTACCAGTACTTAATGGTACCAATTTTTGATACTTTGTGTGTGTGTTGTTTTTTTTTAATAATAAACTTCATTTTTTTATTTAACATATTTATTTCTTAATATATAAAATTTAACAAATATCAAAACAACATCCAACTCTTTRTGATGTAACATCAGTTGTTTACCAAATTACTTTAAAGTGAAAACTCTAGAAAACAACTAACGCAGTGTTTTGTCTTATTGCACAAATTAAAATCCAGTTCCCCGTATTTCTATTTTATAAAAGTATTGAATTTGGTACCCATCCCTAACAAAGAGGACAAAAATTGAGTCGCTGTAATTCTAAATCACTTCTSAAAGACCTCACTTCCCAAATGCTTTTTTTGTTGTTGTTGTTGTTTTCTAAAAAAGATGAATTGACACAAGAATTTCTGGAAGATTGGTAAAGGTTTTCAGTTTTACCAACAAACAATCAAAAAATTATTAATTTTTTTACATTTGATTATTATTGCCTTTATTTGATTTGCAGAACGTTGCGCTCTATCAGTCCTTTTCTKTATTCTGAGAGTGACATGGTGTCCCAGGTATATTTTTTTCTAAGCTGATTTTATTGTTGTACTAACCCACTCAATAAGTGGGTTAGTGTTTCATCAGGATGTAATCACGGACTCAACTAATCAACGTAAATTGATTGGAAATCAATGCATTTATTGGACRCGCACACAGTTCCTTCAGCACGTTTAATGCTTCCTGCCCTTCTTCTCATATTCTTTGTGGCATCCTGTCACTAAAGTTACATCAGCATAATAATCTCCTGATGGATTCACCACCTTTGGGACAGGATACAGTCTTGCACATGTCTTAATAACACACTTGTTTATATTAAAATGATTCAGGTAAAGATCTGTTTTTAAGTTGGGATCTGTGGAAATGTAATAACGGTTAATATCTTACCTGTTGTAGATRACTTTTTGAATGACCTACGTTTAAAGAAATAGTTTAATTTTGACCAGATTGACGAGTTAAGGCTAGTCCTAACAGAGTTTAGACATTTTAAAGTAGCTCCAGTCTGAAAAGCTTCATGGCGGTTCACGTGAACAGGATTTTATAGATCTTTACATTTCCATCAGTTCCGCATTATGTAATTATTTCCATAAAATGATTTGGTTATTTGCCAAGGTACACAGCTCTACAGCTGCTACTCCTTCCTGTTGGGCTGCAGCCACCATCCAGCAGGAAACCATATGATTTCTGCCGAGTATTCATGTCGTGCAAAATGAACTTGTGAAACATCTGGATGAATGTCTTAGAAAATGTTGATTATTTTTAAAAGACATTAATTACCCCCCCTCCTCTCAATTTGCATCAGTTCCCCGATCGTTCCCTCAGATCAGCTGCACCACACACTCTGGATACTTCTCATAGAGAAGCCTTTGCATTTCTAATTTTTAAAAACTTACTCAATATACCCCCCCACCCCCCAAAATATTTGTTGCATAAATGTTTGCTTCATTCGGTGAGTGAAAGTACACATTCAGCCTCTTGTTGTCCTCTGCCAACTTAGACTTAACTGTGCCTGTTTTAACCACGGCTCATGAAGTTGTTTGTGGAAACTGTGAGCTCGTCAGCAGTGAAAATAGTCATCTTATCCAGTCGGAGTTATGCCTGTTTGCCAAGATGGGGGAAAAACAATATTTTATTGCTTTGACTCCATGACAGACTTCCTGTAGCTCCTGAGTTGTGTGTGTGTTTGTAAGTCCTCTGTTATGTCCACACAGCGTTCAGATACAGCATGAAGATGKACGTTTGTGTAGTTGTGATGTAGCTCGCAGCTGACAGCTCTGTAATGTGGAAAAGCAGGTGGTGCAGACGGTGACGTAACGAACAATATGCTTCCTCTCCGGGGAGCGTGGGCCTGTCTCCATGCTCCTGCACTGCAACAATAAATAAACACCTCRGAGCAGGGCTGATGCATCCTACGTGATGAATTAGTCATGTGGGCGTGGGGACAAACCGGCGTGTCAGAGTCGATGTGTAACATGGAGCTGGTGACAGACACCATGTGGCCCATCTCTCTGAATAATTCAATAGACGTGTGTTGGCTTTAATAACTCTCTCTGAGTGACTTTCCCTGAGGCCCAAACACCGAACCTCCTCTCAGTGTAATCTGTCCTTCCGATAATCCCATTACTGCCCTCCTTCGCCTTTTCTCATAGATGCTTTAAAGGAAAGYGAGCCTACATGAAGTGGTATAATCATCAAAAGGTAGAAATAGAGACCACCATGAAACAAAGCGTTAGACCCCTTAAAATATGGTTTATTTTATTCCCAAACTCTGCTTTTGCTTGTGGAGCACCCGGACCCCACAAGGCTGCGTTTTCCTTAAAACTGGGCCCCACGATGTAGGAAAAACAAGAACACACACACAAAATACAAATCATAAATAAAATGGAAGGCAACAGAAAGAAGAAAAACTATCTTAGCATAATCGAAGCCACACATGGATTTAAAATAAGTTTGTTTTGTTTATTGATGCATTTTATGATCATTGTTGTTAAGGGAACCAGTGTGCTGCAGAATAAAGACATGCAGAAATGTTTGGCGTCCTCACAACACCCGATGGTTGCTTGATTTTTTTTTTCTTTATTGTTATTATTTTGTTTTGTTTGTTCAGGTCCGGAATCTGAACCTAGCCTTCCAGGCTGCGGAGAGCATCGGCATCAAATCCTCCCTGGTGAGCTGAGTTGCTGCTGACCTCACACACACACACACACACACACACACACATGCACTCAGAAACTCTTTAATTAGACAAACTAAAAATGGTACAACAAAAATGTCACAATACAAAGCTTTTGTTGCCTTTTGTATTTTCCAGTTAAACCAAAAGTTTTCATCAGTTTCCTGCTGMGCTCTGAAACAGTTGGGCTGTACAGTCGTCTGGTTTTGATGAGTTCAGATAACTTCTGGACGTCTTCACAACTCCTCAAACATCTGACTAACATTCAGCTGATGGCACAATATTTAGACTGTGGGAGCGTCGAGGGAATCCATTCGTGTTTGTTTACTCAGTAAAGAAAACAAAGTTGCTTTCATGTTTACTTCCAGTGAAGAAAGACAGTAGGCTTGGACAGTTCCAGTAAATTTCAGGATGAGATAAACACATTCAGAGATCTGAACTCTACTGTTATACAAATACTAACACCATTCACTTGAAGCCCTATTAAATAATAACATTTAATCTAGGAAACAACAAAACAAATTAAAATGGTGTTGCTAGATTAAGACAAAAAAGGAAGTTATTCTGTAGTAATTAGGAAATGACTGGTAAAATGCACTCAGTGGCATAAAAATAGTAACCCATGCAGGTTTGCAATAAAGTTGTTGAAGTATTCTCCTAATCAGTAACAGGAAGTGATGTCAAAGGGAAATGTCTGCTTGTGAACAGAGCTTTACTACAATGACCCACAACACAGACTGTAGAGGAGAACCTTATGTGTGTTTTTAGATTATTTTGAGTCACTGTCAAATAGGTGAAGAAGAGAGCGAGTTCAAAGAATATTGTTTTGATAAAAGCAAAAATCAAGGAGCTCCTTTTCTTAATGAGTTCCCCTATGATGTCACTTCCTGTTTCATTGTGGCTGAGCCAGGTTCGAAAGGAAATATGCCCGTTTTGTGACAAAATGGGTAAAATCATGTATTGTCAAGTTTCTTAAATATAAAGATTTTTTCTTTTACTTTTTGTATTTTAAGGATATGCATGCCACGTCGTCTTATAAACATCGTTAAGTACATTGTGTACGACTGACTAAATGTGAAATAAATAATATAGAAATAATATTAAAAGTAAAAGTAAGAGAGTTTTATTTGCTGGTAAGTTATGGTGAGTAGATGCAATCTTGAATTCTGAACTCTCCCACTTTCTGATAGGAAATTCACACTGGAGAGGGTGTTTCAGTTTACATTTAAGACTTGTAAGTGGGAAATTCCCACTTCCCAGTACAACTGGATCTTACCCAACTGGGATGTTGTCATTTCACCAGGAAAATAACTGACTTGCATTATGAGAGATGTAGTTTATGGTCAATGCTGGCTTTAAAGCTGCATATATTTCTTTTAAAGACATTAATACACATTAATGCTTAATTTGATGATCATCTCTTGATGTGGTCTGACTTGGGTGATCAGAACCTTCATGATGTAGAAACTTTCCCGTACCCATTGCTTCCAGCATCAGGTCACTGTAACATCGGCACATCCCACATTCTGGACAGTTCAGCCCAGCTTCATGCAGACCCACAGTGAGACCCCCATCAACCAAATCTTCAACAAACCCATCACTGATCTGAAGGTAGAACCAGTTAAATCCAAACTGGACCATTGCCATTGGGTGATTACACTCACMGGCCACTTTATTAGGTACACCTGTCCAACTGCTCGTTAACACTTAATTTCTAATCAGCCAATCACATGGCGGCAACTCAGTGCATTTACGCATGTAGACATGGTCAAGACAATCTCCTGCAGTTCAAACCGAGCATCAGTATGGGGAAGAAAGGTGATTTGAGTGCCTTTGAACGTGGCATGGTTGTTGGTGCCAGAAGGGCTGGTCTGAGTATTTYAGAAACTGCTGATCTACTGGGATTTTCACRCACAACCATCTCTAGGGTTTACAGAGAATGGTCCGAAAAAGAAAAAACATCCAGTGAGCGGCAGTCCTGTGGGCGGAAATGCCTTGTTGATGCCAGAGGTCAGAGGAGAATGGGCAGACTGGTTTGAGCTGATAGAAAGGCAACAGTGACTCAAATAACCACCCRTTACAACCAAGGTAGGCAGAAGAGCATCTCTGAACACACAACATGTCGAACTTTGAGGCAGATGGGCTTCAGCAGCAGAAGACCACACCGGGTGCCACTCCTTTCAGCTAAGAACAGGAAACTGAGGCTACAATTTGCACAAGCTCATCGAAATTGGACAAGAGAAGATTGGAAAAACGTTGCCTGGTCTGATGAGTCTCGATTTCTGCTGCGACATTCRGATGGTAGGGTCAGAATTTGGCGTCAACAACATGAAAGCATGGATCCATCCTGCCTTGTATCAACGGTTCAGGCTGGTGGTGGTGGTGTCATGGTGTGGGGAATCTTTTCTTGGCACTCTTTGGGCCCCTTGGTACCAATTGAGCAYCGTTGCAACGTCACAGCCTACCTGAGTATTGTTGCTGACCTTGTCCATCCCTTTATGACCACAATGTACCCAACATCTGATGGCTACTTTCAGCAGGATAATGCGCCATGTCATAAAGCTGGAATCATCTCAGACTGGTTTCTTGAACATGRCAATGAGTTCACTGTACTCAAATGGCCTCCACAGTCACCAGATCTCAATCCAATAGAGCATCTTTGGGATGTGGTGGAACGGGAGATTCGCATCATGGATGTGCAGCCGACAAATCTGCGGCAACTGTGTGATGCCATCATGTCAATATGGACCAAAATCTCTGAGGAATGCTTCCAGCACCTTGATGAATCTATGCCACGAAGAATTGAGGCAGTTCTGAAGGCAAAAGGGGGTCCAACCCATTACTAGCGTGGTGTACCTAATAAAGTGGCCGGTGAGTGTATATGTTTTGTCAGTGAGCAATTTTTATTGTAATTTAATTGTTATAAGTTTGAAAAAATAATCTTTAAATCAAGTGTGTTTTATTAAAAAGTGAACAAATACAGTTTTGTCAATGCATTGATGGACTTTGAGATTACAGTTGCTTTTTTGATTTCTGTAACTTTCCTAACAGTCAAAYAGTTGCTCTGCATCAGTCAAGTCCTTTCAATTTAATTCCACGGTCAGGAATCACCGAACGTTCAAAACTGGTGCTTGATGAGATTTAAACTCTGCTTCAGCCTGGGTTTGCTGTTTGCGATTTCATCAAGAATGTAATTAATGTGATAGAAGTCTACAGCTGTGAGAATAGAAGTACGCACATTTTAAAAAAGTCTAAAAACGGGCTTTCTGGGTTTTACAAGACAACCTCTGGTTTTCAGTGCTGCTGTGATCGCTGTCACATCAAAAACAAACAAAAAAGGGCAGAAAAACATTTTTTTGTAGTTAGTAAAGCTATGATCCAAGACTTCCAGTCACTTTAAATCCACCTCTGCCCACTTWGTACGAACACTGGCTACCCTTTTGCTTATAATTTATTACACTAGAATACATATTCAGGTTTGGACTAGTTTTTAATAATACTTTTAATCAGCTTGGTTTATAAAGCTGGACGTTCAGATCTGTAACCTTTGACGTTTGCTGTCGAAGTGAAGCTCCTGTGCAGGTGGTAAAATACAAGATGTCTCCCGAGAATTTACGAAAACTAAATTCAGAAATCATCTTGTCGTGATGTTCAGTTCTCACTGGAGCGGTTTGCAGCCAGTATAACAAGATGATTTTCTCTTTATTATGACATATTGTATTTATGCTAGCATGCAAATGATTAATCAATCACATGCTAATGTTTAGCAGCAGTTTTTCCATATCTTGTTTATTTAGTTAGCTGATATCGGTTACCACAAACCAGACAGCAGAAATTGATGGGTCTGTTTGTTTTAACTGTCAGTTGCATCATTTCATCATCCAGATTGAATATTATAAAACAATTATAAAACCTAAATTTTGATCTATATCACACATCATCAAGCACATTCTCTCCAAGATAAACATGTAAAACAAACAGGATTTACTGGAGCAATTTTTGGTCCAGCAGCTAATTCAGGTTTCCAGTTTGTGCAGACAAACCTGTTCAATGTTTACAAATTAAAGTTTCATCTGTGCAACAAAAACCCCTCAGACAGTTTTATGATTTAAAGGAATATATTCGAAGCGGATGACTGGGGCTACATTTTAAAACTCTAAATTATCTCACATGTGACTTTAAAAGTACAAGAATCTATTTACCATCACTTTACTCTGAATCTGGGAGCTTGACCGCAGCAGTAAAGTGAGTTCAACCTAAATGTTTGACTTAGACCAGAGTTCACATTTTGATCTCTTATTATTCCTCATTATGGCTTTGTGGTTGTAGGACTGGATTCTGCCAAGTCGTTCCCACGTTCATGACTTAAAAACACAAAACAAATAAAGTTACTGCAAGCTGACTTTTTATCCTCCCTCTGATTATAAAAATCATGAAGATGGGTCACATGGCATCCCAGACGGTGCAGACCGTGGTCTTATATGAAGACAGGGATGGACCGAAGTGAAGCATCTCCATGATTCATGTAAATCCTGGGGTTCACTCTGTGAAAGGCTGATTCGTGCTTCACGTCTTGCATGGCAAAAAATGTGTAGCTTCTGTCTGTTTTCTCCAGCTGACACCCCGTCTTGACATGTGGCCCTCGGTGACACCCCTGACATAGGGGGAGTTTTTTTTAGCTTTGTGACCGGGGTTTGACCTAATCCTGATAGGCGGAGATCTTCACTGTGGGCGGAGTTTAGCCAAACCATGACCGGTTCAATTTGACTTGACTTGTGTGGCAAAATAAAAGAGGACGTAAGAGTAAAATTATTGTGATCATGTAAATATAAATTAGTAACTTAAAATGTTATGTAGCAAGCACCTATCTGTCTGGAGTTACGACTAAAATTAATATTCGTTTTTAAACTTATTGGTTCATTTTGGCCGTTTGGACTGAGTTAAACATCCCTCCAGATGCAGCATCCACCCAACCGAATCGTTTTGGCTTCTTCAAACCTCACCTGAAACACTCAAGCTGACTAATCACATCTTTAACAAACTCCTCCCACAAAAGTCAAACACACCAATCATGTCTGACAAACTCCTCCCCATTCCAAAAACCTCAGACTTAGTGACTGTGGAGAACCTTCTCCATTCTTCTGCATCACGCAGAAAATGGTCGGCATCCAGAAAAGTTTTTACGAGTTTCAATAAAGTCTGTTTAGTGGTTTATGGGATATTTTGCTAACAGACACTGATTTCTCTCTGACACAGATGAGGAGAGTGGACACACGTTTCTGTTTCATGACATCAGCAGATTTATTTCTGTTACACTTTATAAGAATTATGTTTTAGCACTTTTTCTTTTCTTTATTTCCTGTGAAGAGCTCGTTTAGAAAAATGTGTTTGGTTTCTTTCACAAGTTTGTCTTCCTCTAAAACATCCTGAAGTGTTTGTTTCGTCACACAGCAGYGCTGAAAATAAATCATGAAAATACGGCCCATAATTTGAGGGACCGAGGAGGAAAAACAGTTCTTTTCAGCACAATCCACCAGATGTTACCAAACTTTGTGAGCGTTCATGAAAGAGGTCCGTGCAACAAACAGAGAGGGAGGGAAAATAAAACCACAACAGTTTTTTTCCTCCTGCTTGACACAATATTATCTCTGCAAAGAAACTATTTCTGACCAGCGTTGGGAAAACAAAGTTGACAGATCTCCGAGAGGTTTGATGCTGAAACTAATGTATTTTTACAGATTACAGGACAATACTATAGCTGATCTAAAAAATAAAAAACTGATTGTCACCCAACACTTAGAGTTCATGTGTCAAACGTAAGGTCCGCAGGCCAAATCTGGTCCCTGTTAACATTTTTTCCAGCCCTCAAGTGAATTAGTTTTATGGTTTCTGGATTTTAGTGCGTTCTTCTCATGACAGCTGGCCAACTTTAAAGTTTGACTTTTTCAGTAAACTTTAATTTTGGTGTCATAGTACATCTGAAATTATCCTTTTCTGTTTTTGTGATTTTAAAGTCAAATAATTGGATTTTCAGTGAAAGTTTGCTTTGTTTATACTGTCATGGACTAATTATTTATCTGTTTTCCCCTTGACACTGTTCATCTCTCATATCTTTCTGGTGGCTCCGGTCGCCTCCGCAATGCACTGAACTTTAACATACTCTTTGGGTGGGAGCCTTGTGATTGGCTGAACAGTACATTTGGCAATCTGTGATTGGATGTAAACTGTCACATGGTGTTGACACGATGTATATTATTGGCTGTGTTCTGCTGACGACTCCAGTAGCAAGCAGACAGAACCTTCCTGATTCAGTTCTGTTTTGTTTGTTGCTCATTAATTAAACCATATTTGATTATCATGTACGCAGACTTTTCTGGTTTATTCCAACGTGTTTCTTCTTTTGAGACGACAATACGATTTGCTGGATTGGGGATAAAATGTATCTTTAAGAAATAATAAATGAAAAAGTTGTTGAAAGATTAAGACATAAAATGCTAACAATGAAACTTTCTAAATTAATCTTCTGTGTTTAGCTGTTAGGTTAATGCATCTTCTGATTACTACATAAACCATCATTTGGAAAAGGTTTTTTGTATTTATATCTGGATTTCTCTCCTGGACTTGTTACATCTACAACTCGACTATGGATAAACAGCAGAAGATGGAGATCAAATAGAAACAAATGCATCACGTGTGCAGTGAGGAGTGAATCATCAGATAAGACTGTGAGAACATTTCCAAAGACGTAAAAAAAAACACTTGGATGAACTTTATCAGCAAACATTCATGTATTTGTCATTTTGAACGCAACCATTCCCGGACAGACAAAGAGCTGAATGAATATCCAGTGGGAGGGAAGTAAGATTAATMTGCATGTTAATGGGAGTTGGTCAGTTTTAAGACATTTATGCTGATGYTGATGAATAAATCAAGACACATACAGCAATTAAAGACAACAAAGTTTGAGCTTTTACGTCTGTAAATAAGGCAACCAGATTCACACAAACAAAAATAAGTGTTTGACATCAAACAGCTTGTGTGATGAGAGCCCTCACTGCTGTCATTGAATAAAAGCCAAATATTAGTAGACATCTGTCAGACAGTGTTGACTTTAGCTCAGTTAGTGAGATGAGGGGAAAGAGGACAAGACACCAGTAGCCTCGTGTACACAGACACTTCTGGACTTCCTACTGAAGCGTACGCTTAAACTGAGTAAACCTCATGAACAAATCCAGATGTGTGAAACAGTTGGTTCACATTAATACAAGCTSGTTTATTTTGTTCATCCTGATCAAGCTGGAGCTGAGCGCACACGAAAGAATACCAGAAACTTCTCTCTGACACACCTCTATTCAAATATGCAAATCGATACAAAAATGCCCCGCAGGTGTGATTCTTGTGTCTTCACATCAAAAATCAGGTCTGCACCTGCCAAGGAAAGCAGATCATATTGGGCTCGACGGGACCCTCCACCCGCTGTCGGGATCTTCCAGGATATTCCCGTAACGTGAAGAGAATTGCATTTCTTTTCTCTCCAGACAGCTGTAACATCACTAATACTATTTGACATGACAGAAGAGTTGCAACTTTCCTGATAGTAGCAACATGTTCCTGATTCTCTCCATTGTTCTGAGGCGTGTCCCTGCGAGTTTACTTCCTGTTTACTACAGCCATGTGTAACAACGTCTGATGTAATTATGCTTTGCATAGCCTGGTTGATTCACACCAAGCCATTTGATGGGTTTTTTTATTTTATTTTTTGCAACACGTTAAAAGTTCGCTCAAAATGCGCATTAAAATTGGAGGGAAACACGGCTACCCAGGAGTAATGATGTGATGACAGGATGCTTGTGCACGCACAGGCTCAGCGTGCATCAAGAATATTGTAATATGTATTAGAAAAATGACATTTTCCACATCCTGCAGCGTGCCAGTTTGTAGCTTGTAGTTTGTTTTCGATCAGCTGCTTATTAAAGAGAACTGTGGGTTGAACCAGCAGCTGTATTTGCACGTCACACTTTTAAACTGATTGAACGATGATGCTTCCTGTAAACACACACTCATCATGATGGTGCTTTATGGTGGTGTGTGTGTGTGTGCTGTGGATCGCTCTATTTACATTAGGCAAACTGCACCTTAATGTCAGCCTGTCTGGCTGTGTTGTACAGACGTTTCTAATAAATGGAGTAATTCCATTTCACACAGACTCTAAAGCAGCTGAAGTCTGTGTTGTGCTGTAAAATCAACTCATGTAATTGGATAAAGGTGGATGTATTCATGAAACATGAAACCAAACCAAAGGTCATTTCATTGATTGTACATCTAAAGTTTTAGGCCACATTTTTGGGCTCACCCTTTGTGCAAACCCAGAACACGTGACATCTGCCCACAGTGACCGGACAGCACTAATGATTAGAGTCTGTGTGCTCATTCACTCTTTTTGGGATTAAAATCACTCACTGTCCAAACTAGATTGCACAATCCCAGTTTGTTTACTTTGCTTACTGGGAGACACTACAGAAATACTCCTCCATAAAAAATACAGTATGTAAACCCACTCATTTCTCTATCACCAAAACAGTACCGAATTTAAATTAAAAACTATATATATATATATATACACACACACACACAGTAGCGTGCACAGACATTTTCGGGGGCAGGTGCTCAAATGTAGAAAGAAGGCACCTTGTCCGGTGCACGGAATCAGCAGCTGTCCTAATAATGTGACATTACAGACACATCTTGTACATTGTGCATATTTATCTATTTTAAATCAGATTTTATTCTATCTGATACAGATGTTTAATATTCAACACTCTACAGGTTGGTTTCTGTAGTTGAAAAGGTTAAATAAAAGTCAGTTTTGTTAAACTGATGACTTGTTTGATTACGTAATTTATCCTTATAAGTTGATCTGTCGTGATTACTTATTAACTGCGATTAATCACAGTTAATTTTTTTTTATTTACGATTAAYTAGTTAATTTTTATTAATCGATTAACAGCCCTAATATTATTACTAATATTTTTTTTATTTTGTTTCATTTATCCTTATGCAATTTTTTTGGGATTCTCCTCGTTTATTTTTTTTGAACATCTTTATTCATTTATTTACTTGTCCCTCCACCCAGCTGATTCATTATTTCTTTTCTTTGTTATTATCTGTTTATTTATTTCTGTGTTTAATAGAATATATTTACAGATTACCACTAGTCCCCACACTACTCAAAATTTCACCCATCCAGAAGCATTTTGGTTCGTCTTGGTGTTTATGTTTTGTTTTGTTTTTGTTTTGAGCTGTTGCCCAATTATTGAAAACATTTGTCCTTATTGTGTTGTAAATTAAAAAAAAGAGAATGCTCAGACATCGTGTGAAATGAAGTTTAGATGAAAGTTAAACTCTGGAAGACTAATCAACCTCACCTGCTGCTGCGTCACAAGCGCAGCGTCCTCCAATCGCTCCGTCTGCTCGCCAGCCGAACGTCAACCAGCACGTTCTAACACCTGTCATGTCATCAGCACTAATGCACCCCCATATCATCAGAGAGGCAGGCTTTTGAACTGAGCACTGATTGGCTGGATGGTTCCTCTCCTCTCTGGACCCGAGGATGTGCTTTCAYTGTTCCCAAAAATGAATTTTAAATTTCATTTTGTCCGACCATGGATCTGATAAGATGTCAGAGTTTCTAGTGTTCACATACAGATTCTGATTTGCACGATAGAGCTTTAACCAGCATTYAGAAACTATTTGGTAAATATTTTCGAAACGCTGAGAATTCCCGGGTGTTTTCATCTACAAATAATACCAGATTCTTACCATCCAACCTTTTCTGTTCCTACCAGGACATGGAGGAGCTGATGAAGACGGACCGGCCGGACTGGCAGAGCGTGATGCAGTACGTCTCTCAGATCTACAAGTACTTTGAGACCTGACGAGGGACCACGCTGTGGACCAGAAGCACCGCAGCTCTCTTCAGCTCCATCCATCTGCACTAAATCTTCTTTCCACGCTGACTGAAAGCTGCCTTGTTGACCTTATCTAACGCTCAAGGAAAGACGGAGGAGTCTAACGAAACGTTAGAAGTCAGAGTGAAAACCAGTCGCAGAGCGTCTTATCCACAAACTACAGTAAACAGYAAAATGAACACATACTTAATTGGTCCAATTTTTTTGACAAAACCTTTTTTTTCTCACCTGCTGTTAACACTTTTCTAAAACTTCTACAAAAAAATATTTGAACATTTAAAAAAAAGTGCCAAAGTCTTTTGCCAAAATGCAGCTCGGACCATCTACGCATGATAAAGATGTGRCGTTTCCTCTCAGTCAGCAAGAGCAAAACCGTGTGAAGAGAGTTCAGTAAATGTCCAGAACTTGCTGAATGAGTTGGAGTCGTGTTTGAGAGAAGAAGATGTTTACAGTGAAAGTCCAGCTGAAGCCTCAACATCTGGATCGTCTTTGAGGGAGGAAGCTGTCACCGTCTGTCGAGTCGAGCCACTTAAACCTGAGGGTGTAAAAGTGAGTAACAGTTTCCCAGGAATACTCTTGTGGAACCGGGCTGATCTTTACGCTCACGCTGGGCTGTTTCTCCACATCCCATCGACTCTCTGAAGCTGCAGAGCGTTTGTGTTCGACCAGCTGAGTCATGGAGGAGGAGGAGGTTTCTGTGTGCTGACGTTTGGACACGCTCCAGTTTGCAGACACCTGATTATKCTGGGGAATAAAAAAAGTTGTATTTATTTATTTACTGAGCGTTGAGAGTGTGGACAGAAATCTGTTGACGGACGTCAGAAATGTTAAGTTTTACTTAATAAAGAATGTGGAGATTTACTTTAAACCACTGTTGCTGTTTATTTTTGATGTTTGGGTGTGGAGTTGGTTTGTGTTGGAACGGCTCAACCGTGTGTGTGTGTGTGTGTGTGTGTGTGTGTGTG